TAATGAGGTCGGCGACTGTGGCAAAAGCAGCAAGGTCGGGAAAGAGGTACGGTAGCATGAGGCGGCTCAGTGCAGCAGTGGCAGGGGTGGAGTAGCGTGCGATAACGGCGTCGTACAAGGTCTTAGCAATCTTGTACGACCCAAAGTGCGCACGCTCAGCGGGAGGGAGGTGGCGACGCACAGCAAGACGTGCAGCAGCATCGCGTGTGGCCCACTGTGAGCGAACAGTGGCATCCTCAGTAGCAGCAGGGGCGGGAGAGGCACCAAAAGTGAGATCAAAGAGAGAGAGTCCGTCAGCTCTGTCGCACTATAGGAAAAGCAGTAGGTCGTCTACCCACACGTCAAAGTCAATGGCTCTGCCCTCAGCGTCAAAGGCGAGGACACTGGGGGTAGCCATGACAGCAGTAGAGAGAGGGCAGTGCGCAGAGTAAAGCTCAGTGCTCACCAGATAGGGCAGTGCAGGGAGGGCACGGGCGGCTCGGGCGGCTCGGGCGGCTCGGGCGGCTCGACTGCTGGGCGGCTCGGGCGACTCGGCGGCTCGGGCGGCTCGGGCGGCACTGCAGCTGGGGCGGCTCGGCTGCTGGGGCGGCTCGGCCGGGAGATGCAGGGGCGGGGCCGTCAGGTGCAGCGGCGGGCCGGCAGGTGCAGCGGCGGGTCGACCGGTGCAGCGGCGGGCCGGCAGGTGCAGCGGCGGGGCCGTAGGGTGCAGCGGCGGGCCGGTAGGTGCACCGGCGGGGCCGTCAGGTGAAGCGGCGGGCCGCTGGGTGCAGCGGCGGGCCGGCAGGTGCAGCGGCTGGGCCGTCAGGTGAAGCGGCGGGCCGCTGGGTGCAGCGGCGGGCTGTAGGGTGCAGCGGCGGGCCGGCAGGCGCAGCGGCGGGGCCGTCAGGTGAGGCGGCGAGCCGTAGGGTGCAGCGGCGGGCCGTAGGGTGCAGCGGCGGGCCGGCAGATGCAGCGGCGGGGCCGTCAGGTGCAGCGGCGGGCCGGCAGGGCCGCGTCAGAGCCGGCGGCGGGGCCGCGTCAGTGGAGGCGGCGGGGCCGCGTCAAGCAGGCGGCGAGGCCGCGACGTAGCGGGCGGCAGGGCCGCGACAAAGCCGGCGGCGGGGCCGCGTCAGTGGAGGCGGCGGGGCCGCGTCAAGCAGGCGGCGGGGCCGCGATCAGGAGGGGCAGCGGGGCCGCGAGGGAAATGGCGACCCGAGGGGTCGCTAAAAAAAAAATGCGCGCCTCGGGGCGCGCTTCGGTGGGCCCTAAAAAAACGGTCCTTAGGAAGGACCCGCTCTATACCATGTGAAACAAGTGAACAGGGATGAAATGACTAAGGAAAGATTGGGTACAAATACAACCCTAGAAACCCTGTACCCCATATGTGCTACCCCACTATAGCCTACAGCAACTATGTCATATAAATCTGACACTAGGTTCCGTGAAATTCGGTCTCGGAATAACCCAGGGCAGTCCCCGGTTCTCGATTGAACTCACATGCTGGGGTCGGGTAGCCGACGGAAACTGATGGTGACCGAGTGGGCGGCTATAGCACGTCCGCGATTTTCGGAGGCGAACTGCAACTGCAACTGTGGATTTACGGGGTCTGATTCGAGCGACAATTTCGGAGTGTTTACGTGGAGACTTACAGGTTTTAAGGCAAGGAGCGCCGACAACTTCGGAGGAGCATTCGGCGTTTGGTTAAACGCGCGCAAAAAGGAAGTTGGGAAATAACGCGTGAGCTACACGAAGTTTTCAGGGGTACGAACGACTTACGACGAACTGAAGAAGGCGGCATCAGCAGTGAAGGGGTGGGAGAGACAGCTGCATTTTTGCATCCCTGCCCAGGAGCCCTCGGCGCACTACGACAACTGGCTCGGCGAGTCTGGACAAAACCGCTGGAGGTGCTGACATCATCTGACCCTAGATCGTGCTCGACATCAATTTCGGAGTGACATTCGATTTCGGTTACTGCTTCAATGAATTTCGCCGACGCTCGTATTTGACTTTACGACGGATCGCCTTCACCGACGACATTTTCGTACCAACCCCGACTTCTCAGGCCAGAGGATTTCGGGATACAGCCGCACCAACTCTACTAGCGACAAATCCATCCACTCGACCCGCCCACGACAACTGCATTGATTTCAAACACGTCAGGTGTTGCCAGCTGCATCTGCTGAAGATACTGCATGATTCTGGCGCGTGAAGACAAAAACAGGTTCAGTTCGAGCAACGCATAATTTCTGCCGCGGTTTCTGGTCTACTTACGCGGGCTCGCCCTTGAAGACTTTTCGGGGCACGTACTACCCGGTTCCGCAATCGACTTTCCACACCGACGAGTCTTCACCTGGCTTTCTACGCTCGACATTCGTTTCAGTGGGACTTTACACCTGGATTTTTGTTGGTTTTCATCTCGGCGCAGCTGTGAAACATTTTCTGGTGTGCTTTCTTGGAGGGGGGGAGAAAGTGCTTTGCACTATTTCTTTCCTCGGCGTTTTCTCGGCTCAATTTCTGACTTTGTTAAAATGCAGCAGCACGACGGACGACTGCGATCGCTGCTTCACGATCAACGGTTTCTGCAACATCGCGATTGAATTTTGCGTTAGCAGGTTCCCTCCAATCTCGCGTCAGTCTTCGACCGTCAGATCCACATCTGCTTCATCGACGGCCCACATTCCAAATTCAACTTCATTTTGGGCTAGTTCATCTTCGACCGTCAGATCGAAACCTGACTACATCAACGGCCTACATTCCAACCTTTTCAAAAATATTGTCCAAGGCATTTCGGCCGTCGGATTCAGCTGAAGAGGCGATCTACGGAATCCTCGCTAGTGTGGGGCCTTTTTTAGTACAGGGCTGTCAGAATGTTATCTTATGTTCTAGCCTGTAGTGGGGTGCTCTATAGCGAGTACAACGCTTCTAGGGTTTGCTATTTGTATCCTCATTCCTGCTAGTTCAATCCTCATTCTTTCTTCTAATTTTGTCAAAGGGCTGCCTTATTTAGAAGGTGGGAGAGTGTAAGGATTTACAAATCCTTACTGAGGCACTCGTTAGCGAGGTCATCCCGAGGATCACGCGACGAACCTGTCCTTCCTATTTCGTCGCACCGAACCACTCCCGAGTCGGCCTCCGCTCCAATCGCAACCATCACCGAGCCATCCTCGCCCAACCTCTCCGCCTAGCTAGGACTTCCCCTATTTAGTCGTGCCTTTCTCATTGTATCGTCATTCAGTCATTCAGTAATTCAGTAATCAGTCATTCTCGTTATTCGTTTTACTGCGCACTCTGCAAGTTCATTCATAACATCACTGGTGGTTGATACATGGTGCTCATATTTCCGGGGGCTTGCAGGTAACGTTTTCAGGTTATACCCAAACGTTTATGCCTTTTGCCGAACTCCACACAACGGGGATTTTTTGTTAGTGCAATTCCTGCACTTCGTATCAGGTGTCGTTATCGAAAGTTCATACTCTAAAATGTTGCGAGTTCATCACAGCACAGTCGCCCTTTTTGGCGCTTTCACACCCGGCTAGCCACGAAGACAGCCATCAAAGTCTTGTCCTTGACGAAGCTGTAAGGTCGTGTTTGGCGTGTTTGCTTCTGCCGTTTCAAGGGACTTGTCTCAAGATATATCGCTGGTCTAAAGATGATTATGCACCAAAATGTGTCCCCGATGGAGGAAACGAGAGATGATGCCTAAAGAGTATGAGACCTTGGGTCCTCACGTCAACGAAAAACTCCTGTCCCAGCCAACCACGCCGGGACCCCAAACCTTTTCCAATCAGTGCTGGAAGCTGGGCCTTCGTCAAGCGTCAAAACTCCTCACAGAAACGCAATTGGCTTGAAGTACAGTGAATGGAATTGGCCCTTTCCCAGTCTCGACACGACTACAGTTGTGATTCGTGAACTGTGTATAGTGCAGGTTTCGTTTCTTGCCAACACTGGCAGGCCGTTTATCCTGCCGGAATTGGTTTCCCTCTTGACTGCACCCTGTGAAGTTTTGTTTTTCCCAGCCATTGTTCAAATCTCGATGACCCTGAAAACTAGCAAGAGAGCAGGCCTGCAGCACCTGTTCAGATGCTCGCCAGTGCCATCAGAGCAAGGTCTGTTTTGAAAGCCAACTTCGTACCGTTTGCTTACAGACGAGGTATGTGTTCAGGCTGGTGAAAAGCGGTTGAACGCGGTAAAAAATAGAATGTTTTAAATTGCACAAAACCGTTCTCAAACCTTTCAGCTAATTAATGCTGAACTCTGGGCTTGTTGGAGTCCAGAGCTTGACATCAAGCAAAAGCCAAGTGCTGTTTTGTTCGATTGACTCTCTCGCTACCGTCCTGGCCCCTGGGCCCTTTCAAGAGCTGCCCACTCTTGCCTCTTTGAAACTGCATTGCAGAAACCCAAGACCAGCACAGTGGCGCGTCCAACGCTCGACAAATCGTAATCTTTGGCGATGCGTCAGCGAGAGGGAGAACGGAGTGCGGAGGAGAACCACATCGCGCATCTCAAAATGGTTGAGTCGAACGTGATTGGCTAAATCATTGTAGGGAGGACCCCGGGGAAGAAAACTTGACAGTGATGAGCTGACGCGGCGCTGCTTGAATTGAGAGAGGGGAGGGAATTCTTGCGAGGCAGTGTGCGCGAGTCAGTGTGGGAAGTCAATACATTACAGCTTGCACATGTGGATCCATCCATCCATCCACCCTGCATGGTCATTGGTTGGTTACCCCTCGCCTCACCTCACCGCCTCCTCCAAACTATCTCCACTCGACTCAAATCGAACCAAGCAACAAGAGCAACACATAAACCGTCCGTTCTCATATCTGTCGTAGGAACAACTAAGTTGAGGGTACAACTTGCCATTATTCTCTGCTTTTGATCGATAGTTGAACTTAAGACTACAAACAACATCACTTCAGTTCTCCGAGTAGGAAGAGCCTGTACCCTGTACTATGGGTGGTCAGGATAGCGTCGCCGCGCCACTACTGATAGGATTGCTCCTTACAGCGTTCGCAGCACTCGGGATGACAGATTCAGGTGGGCGCTCGCTTTATGTAGCGTTCTTTTAGCAATAGAGGCACACCATAAACACTAGTACGATCACGACAACGCAATTTTTCGCATCGTCCGCTACCCGTTCCACCTCGCTCTCACCTTTTCACCCGATTCGTTCTCCCTGCCTCCCCCTCGCAGATCTCGTGAGCGACCCGAGTTTTGAGCAGCTGCAGCAATCAAAGGCTTCCTCATCAGCCTGGCATCTATGGTCGTTCGCGCATCCCATCTGCCAAACCGCCTCGTCCTCGCTCGCCGCCTCCGCTACATCTCGCCTCGACATCCGCCCCCCGTCCTCCGACGCCCCTCCGCCGTACGATGGCAGCTGCGTGCTGCAGCTCGGCGGCTGCGACAAACCTGATCGCTGCTTGTGGGGCGCGGCGGAGCAGTCTATCCCCACGGAGCCCGGGCGGCGGTACCGCCTGACCTTCTATTTCGCGCGCCGCCAACCGCTGCAGCGCGCGCTGCTCATGCAGGTCTCTTTCGGCGGCGCCAACGCCTCCTTCTCTTCCGCCGATGCCGCGAGCGTGGATGCGAACGGGTACGCGCAGGGCATGCTGGAGGTCGACGCGAGCGGAGACAAGACGGCGGTCGTATTCACAGTGCTCTCGGCTGAGAACAGCACGATCGTCGATGGCTTGTCCGTTGAGCCCATCGACGGCGCAAGCGCGGCCGGCGGTCTTTTCTCCGTGTTCGCATCGGGCGACGCGTCCCCCTCCTCCTCTTCCTCCTCCCCGTCGCCGCTTTCTCTCGTCGTGATAATCGCCGTGCCTGTGGCCGTCGTGGCCGCCATTCTCATCGCCATCTTCGTCATGTACAAGCGCCGGTCTGCTCGTAAGATCCAAAAGCTTACCTTGCCGCCAACCCTGTCTTTATAGATGACGACAAACTCTGTTAAACTGGACTAACCAGCCAAATTATTTTCTAATCCCCGCGTGTCACCCTTCCCTTCTCTCCGCTTCCGCTCTCTCCCCCGCCCGTCCCGCCAGCGGCCGGCAAGGAGCTGTCGTTCGAGGGCGGAATCGACTCCGCAGTGCCGTCCACGCCGTCCTCCAAGTCCAAGTGCGTGCGCTTCACCTTCGACGAGCTCCGCCGCGCCACCAGCGGCTTCAATGTGCTGCGCCGCCTCGCCGCGCCCTCCAGCACCAGCGGAGCCTACGGCGCGGTGTTCCGCGCGGAGGCCCCCGGCGGGCTGGAGTGGGCGGTGAAGCGCTTCCACCGCTTCAACTGGGGCGCGGCGGGGGAATCCGAGCCGTTGTTCGTGGATGAGGTGGAGGCGATCGCGCGGCGGTCGCACCGCAACATCGTGGGCATCGTCGGGTTCTGCTGCGCGGGGAGCGAGCGGCTCGTGGTGTACCATCTCATGCCGCACGGGTCGCTGCGCGATAACCTTCTCACCGCCGGCAGTAAGTTTGGAAAATCACTCGCCACGGAGGGCCGTTTCAAGTTGGTAACCTTCACTTGCGCGGACTTTTCTCCGCGCCGCCGCTGAAGCTTGCTAGGTTACTCCCTCTGAGACATTCGTGTATGACGGACTGCCTGACATGTACTGAGTTAGCATTCTCTATGCGTTCTACCCCACGTTGTCCCCTTTCCCCGCAGACTCCCCCATGCCGCTGCACCAGCGCGTGCGCGTGGCGATCGGGGTGGCGGAGGGCCTGGCGTGGATGCACTCGCAGCGGCCCAGGCTGCTGCACCGCAACCTCAAGCCGTCCAACATCATGCTCACCGCCGACGGCCAGGTGCGCTCCCCGCTCACGCCGCTCACGCCGCCACGCTGCCACGCCGCCACGCGGCCTTGCTGCACCCGTGTAACCGCTCCGCGATCCGCCTAAGAGTCATTTCGTCCCGCTGCTGCTCTGCTTCTAACACCTAACGAGTTGCCTGCAGGTCTAACCTTAAACCCTTGCTCCGCACCCTTCCCTTTTTTTTTCCCCCCTTTTCCCTGCCTTCTCCGCCCGTCCGCCCTGACCGCGCGGCAGCCCAAGATCGCGGATTTCTGCTTCGTGCACCACGGCGAGGGCGGGCGGCTGAACGCCGTGCCGCAGGCGCTTAACGAGGAGGGCTACCGCGACCCCGCCACGCCGCTGCTCGCGCCCTCCGCCCTCACCCCGCAACACACGGACGTGTACAGGTGCGCCGAGCGGGGGACTGCGCGGGGATGGGGGACAGGCACGGGTGCTGGGGGAAAGGGGAGGCTGGAGAGGAGATTGTGTGTGACTGTCATTGTAGCCTAGACTAGGTGTGTGCTGCTCGCCTGCTGTTCTAACCCCGCTTTTTTCTGGTGTGTGTGTGTGTGGTGGTGCGTTGTTGGCAGCTTCGGCGTGATTCTTCTGGAGCTGATCACGGGGCGGCGGGCTGTGGTGCCTGATCCCGACGACGCAGACAGCAGGCTGCGCATCACGGAATGGGTCAGTGCCACGACTCATTCTGCTATCTTCATCCACCCATCAGTGCCTCTGCTGGCTCAGCTCAGCTGCTGCTTGCTCGATCCCTGAGTAGCAGATATCCATGTCTGTTCCCTGTGCCCAAAGTCCCCTTATCTCCCTTCCCGCTTCCCCCTTGCCTCTCTGCCTTCCTCTTGCTTGCTTTTATCCCCTTCCCTTCTCACTTTACCCCCCGCCTGGTGTGCGGCCGTCCTACACATCACATATGTCCTACACAGGCGGTGCACTACGTGCATGAGGGCGACGTGCACCTGATTGCGGACCCGCGTGTCTTTTCACGCGCCTTTGCGGGTGCCTTCCAGCTGCTGGGGCAGATTGCAGCGGACTGCGTGCAGGAGGTGGTGGATCAACGGCCCAGCATGCGCGACGTGCGCGAGAGATTGCTGGCTGTTGAGGCGGAGCACTTTGGGGATAATAAAGGCATGAGCTCGGGCGTTGTGGTGGCTGGGTTGACTGAGGTTCGGGTAGATGATGGGCGAAAATAGTGAAGATGTTGCAGTGGGTGTGCTGGATGTGTATGTGTGTGTGCTGGATGCGTGTGGATATCTGAAGCGCCTGTGTAAGGTGCAATAGTAGCCTGCTAGCTAGCCCCCCCCCCCTTTTTTTATGCATGCGAATAAGTGCAGCCTTGTAATGTCGTATGTGTTAATGAAAGTTTGCTGCAATGCAACCATAATGATACTGACATGTCTTGGCTGCAAGAGCAGTACTTAAAGCAAGGCGGTCATAACGAGGAAAATCACATGATTTTGTCAAAGATGCTTTGTACCCAGGAAAAGGGCTGCAGTGCACCGGTTTAGGGGTATATTATCGTAGCAAGAAAGAATCTCCAGTCTAATACCGGTGCTTGCTGCTCCCACCTTGTAAGGAAAAACCCTTTTCCTTGCATGGGTTTACTCAACCGCGTACAACCCCATCTTTCGGAAGTGCACGTTCAGCTACTTCGCTTGCTGCCGAAGCAACCTCGCGTCGCCTTCGGCCTTTCCTTTGCCCAACCTGCACCCAACCTCGTGTTCCCGAGGTTCCCGCCTAGCTAGGTTGGTCCACTATATTAGCGCGTGCCTTCATTGTATTGTCGGTTCATTGAGTCACATCTTTGTTATTCGTTATTCCGCGCACTCTCTTTTACAACTCATAACACCTGGTATCAGAGCTACTTTCCTAGTTCACTCCGCTTTTCGAGGGTAATTTGGTGGCACGGGTGTGGTCGGTATAGTGGACTACACGACGGTTGGCTGCAAGGTTTGTTAATTCAATCCTGCCTGACTCTGATAGTTCGTGTTTTCCACTCACCGGAGGGCCACGGATACCCCTCTGCCCACCAGACGAAGCGTGCGACTCATGGACCAGGAGACATTGAACAAGATGCTGGCGCAAATGGCAGAGCTACAGGCAACGGTGCAGACTCTATCGGCAGAAGTGACAACACTACGAGGAGAAAACGCCGAGCTACGCCAGACGCGAGGTGAAGCGCGTCAGGAGTCGCCCGATGAAGAAGGCGAGGGCAACAGTCAAGCGGTGAGTGTTGAAATGTATTCGTATACATTTTATAAATGCCTACAGTAGAGTTTAGTGTAGTTATATAGTTTCCTGCTTGGTGGTGCACCATTTGCCCATTTCCTTGACTATATCTTGTATGCCTTCTATTATTGAAACACATTTCTCCTTCCTAAACTCCCTCGACATTTTCCTTCAACCCTTCAACTCGAACTTAAGCTACTCCTATCTATGGCTCCTAAGCCCAACTCGACTGAGTACTTTGACAGTGAGCAACCCGTTGGACGCGCTCACACGTGATTTCGAAGAAGAGGATAGGCAGCGACGCCAATTGCAGTAACAACGATCAAGATTAAACCCGTCAACCCGCCCCCGTTCAACCCTAAGGACAAGACTACTACAGTGAAGGGGTGGCTTTTCGACGTTGAAGTCTTCTTCACTACACTAGGCGTGAACGACGATGCCACGCGTATAAAATTGCGCGGTTTCTCTCCTTCGAGGCGCAGCGCTTGAGTGGTGGCCAGGGCTTACTTTATCAGAAATTTTAGGTCTGATTTTCTGGATTTTGAACATTTTTTTACTACTTCATCTGATGTCGTAGACGACCTGTTTAATTTCGTCTGATGGTTTAGGACAGAGTTTTCAAATTCGTCTGATTTCTCAGACAGCCTTATACAGTTCGTCTGAGACTGCAGACAACGAGTTTTTTCTCGTCTGAAACAGACAAATCCCCCCACCTGGCCAGTTGCCCACCTGGCTAGTTGGCCACATGGCTTGATGCTCAATGTTACGGACGAGACTTGCCACCCGCCGCGTTACCGTGCTGCCACCGCCAAGCTGTACATTGCCTTTGGTCGGTGACAACACTGCACGTCAAATGCGCCGCAGTCACCCCGCTGGCACGAATCTTGCCAGTTCGTTTGGCATATTCGTGCCAGCGCACGGGAGAAGGCTGCAGTTGCAACACCGAGAGGCTTCAGTGCGCGCCGAGTTAGCAAGGGATTGATGGCATGGCTGCTTCCACCAGCGAACGAGACGTTCCTGCATGCGGCACGGTTCGGACGGTCCCCCCTCACTCCCCTCTGCGTCAGGTGTCCTTCATCTTACCCTCGTGAGCCAGAGTTAGTCAGTTTGTAGTTGTCAGAACATTATAGCTTATACATTTGTGTAGGCTGTAGTGGGATAGCCCATAAGGGGTACAACCCAATTAGGGTTAGTACTTGTACCCAACTGTTTCATAGTGCATCCATTCCATTCTCACTTCTCGTCATGGTATCGAGCAGGTTCCCGAGTGGGAATACTGCCTAGGGCCCACCACAATTTTTTTTTTCCTTCCCTGCCCGGAGCGCGCTTAGCTCCTAACCCGAGTAGCGCCTCGAGCCACCTTAGTGGCCCCTATTGGCCGCCCTTACTGCCCCTCGAGCTGCCCTCTACGGCCTCGCTTAGGCCGCTACGGCCTCGCTACGGCCCCGCTTAGGCCCCGTCGGCCCCGCTATCGCCCCGCTTAGGCCCCGCTACGGCCCTGCTACGGCCCCGCTACGGCCCCGTCGGCCCCGCTTAGGCCCCGCTACGGCCCCGCTACGGCCCTGTCGGCCCCGTCGGCCCCGCTACGGCCACGCTTTGGCCCCGTCGACCCCGCTACGGCCCCGCTTAGGCCCCGCTACGGCCCCGCTACGGCCCCGCTACGGCCCCGTCGGCCCCGCTACGGCCCCGCTACGGCCCCGCTACGGCCCCGTCGGCCCCGCTACGGCCCCGCTACGGCCCCGCTACGGCCCCGCTACGGCCCCGCTTCGGCCCCGCTTAGGCCCCGCTGCGGCCCCGCTACGGCCCCACTTCGGCCCTGTCGGCCCCTCTAAGGCCCCACTTTGGCCCCACTTCGGCCCCGTCGCCACCGCGGCCCCGCCCACCCTTGCGGCCCGCCGCCACCTGCAACCTCGCCACCACCTGCGACCCCGCCTCCCAACGCCCGCAACGCCGAGCAGCCGAACCGCCGGCCACCTGAGCCGCCCGACCTCCCGAGACGCCCGACAGCCGAGCAGCCGAGCCGCCCAGTAGCCGAGCCGCCCGACAGCCGAGCCGCCCAGCACGAGCAGCCGAGCCGCCCAGCAGCCGAGCCGCCCGACAGCCGAGCCGCCCAGCACCAGTAGCCGAGCCGCCCAGCAGCAGCTCCAGCTCCAGCAGCACCAACTCCAGTAGGACCGTCAGCACCAGCTGCCTGAGCAGCACCCCCAGATGCACTAGCACCAGTAGAAACACCAGCGCCAACACCCCCAGCAGCTCCAGCTCCAGCAGCACCAACTCCAGTAGGACCGTCAGCACCAGCTGCCTCAGCAGCACCCCCAGTAGAAACACCAGCGCCAACACCCCCAGACTCAGCAGCACGTCTCCAGCGGCGGGCGAACCACACGCGCAGCTCCTGTGGAGAGAGCGGCTCCCGCCTCGACGAAGTACCGGTGGTCACACGAGCAGACCCAGCACCCCCAGGCTCCGCACCCCCAGACTCAGCACCCCCAGGCTCAGCACCCCCAGGCTCAGTACCTCCAATCTCAGCACCCCCAGACTCAGCACCCCCAGACCCGGCACCCGTAGACCCGGCACCCGCAGGCTCAGCTCCTCTAGCAGCACCAGAGTCTACAGCTACCTCGACAGGCTCGACTGCGTCTACCTGGGACACACCTGAAGGGGCAGGACCCTGAGGAGGGAGGGGGTCTACCTGAGTAGCACCTGGCGCAAGGAAGAGCGGCGGCGGGGGGAGGGGCGCAGTGCGGTAGGGGAAGAGACGGTAGTAAGTGTCGAAATATGTTTGTCATATTTTATAACTGCTTGTAGTTGTAGTGTAGTTATTGTGCTTTGTAGGTGGTGCACCAACTTTGTTTCCTATGCTATATGTTCCTTGAAACCTATAGTGAAACCCATTCTCCCAACTTCTCTTCCAACTCTCTCGATACTCACCCTAGGAGAAACCTACTCGACACCTAAGTTTGGGCCTAGGCTCCTAAGCCTAGGCCCTCGTTTTTCAACTTAACTCTACACTCTCGTTAAACTCTCGACATGGTATCAGAGCGAATTACGTCCTGGCCTGTGGGCCCGCCCTACACTTCCGCTGCTAAGATTTTCCGGTCGCGCGCCTAGGGCGCGTGACGATTTTTCCTTGTCCCGCCCCCGGTTGGCGTGTGACGCCTTTTCTGCCCGTCGCGCGCCCCGTGGCACGCGACGGTGCCCTTAACCTGCCCATCGCGCGCCCCGTGGCACACGATGGTGCCCTGCTCGTCGTGTAACCCGAGGCACACGATCGGGCCCTTTCTCTTATCCTACCCGTCGTGCGCCCCGTGGCACTGGCACGCGACGGGCCTTTCCGCCCCTGCTCTCCCTGAAGCCGCCCCTGATCCATCTGCGTCGACACCGTTTAGCCGCTCTGCGGCTTTCTTCCCGCCCACCCCCCTCCTCCTTTGTCTCCCTGCAGCCGTGGGGAGGAGGGTATGGGGGTGGCGGGTGTTGGAGTGTTGGGTCAACTCTCTCCCTTCCCCTCCTCCTTCTTTCAGTCCCACCGCTGCAGCTGCCGCTGGGGGGGGAGGGTGTGAGGATGTGGGGGAGCAGGGGGAGTGGTACCGGGGTGGCGGGTGTGAGGCAACATGCAGCCGTCCCTCCACCTCTCCTCTCTTCCCCCCTTCTCTGCTGCTCCTGCAGCAGTGTGGGGGAGGGGAAGGAGGAGGGTGAGGAGATGGAGGGGGTAACTCTTCAATGTTAGCCTGCCTGCAGTACCTGCTGTTGCTTGTTATTTTGCATGGTGTACCCCCTCAGGGGGGTAACTACATTTCTACCTACAAGCATTATGGGGGCGTGTCGAAATATGTTTGTCATATTTTATAACTGCTTGTAGTTGTAGTGTAGTTATTGTGCTTTGTAGGTGGTGCACCAACTTTGTTTCCTATGCTATATGTTCCTTGAAACCTATAATGAAACCCATTCTCCCAACTTCTCTTCCAAC